GCGTTCAAATGCCACTGAATGTCGAGGATTACCTTGCGGACCTTTATCAGACCACGGCATTGTTAAGAGGTAATATTGGTTTGAGTGCTGGGATAGTGTTGTGCGACAGTCGATATATAGCACGATCGATATATATTCTCAACGAAAACGGTCCGATGATTAATATTACCTTGAGAACCCGTTTTTTTTTTTTCGAAAAACCGTGTATTTTGGAAATTAAAAAAATAAGGAAAGCAATGATCTGGTATAGAAGAAAAATTAAAAAAAAAATAAGTGTGTAAATGATCGTGACACTAACCGTGGCCTTCTGTTTCGGAGCCGCCCGATTACCGACCGAAAAATTTACGGTCATATTTTAAAAATTTACGGAACATCTTATGAGGTTTTAAATACCAATAATAATTATCCTGTTAGTCTAATATATCTCAGATTTACTTAGTATCAATGTTTCACCTGCATATGACTTTTTTTATCAGATGCAGATTTGATTCCGAACAATAAACTGCGCGTCGCAAATATATTTTGTACCGTGTGGCAATCGAGCTCACGACCCTCGACGTCAAAGCCAATAGCATAACAACTGCGCCACGCAGACATCACTACGATACCGAATAAGAAATAATAATATCGACTATTCTCATCGACAGGCTGACACATCCCTATGCCGGCAACGAATAGTTGCTAAGCATGTTAAGGATCCAACGACAATTCAATATCTCACATCTGAGAATGCCGAATCACAATTCAACCGCTAACGGCGTTCCGATGCACACGGTCGCTTTGTCCCATTGTTCCGACCGCTTAATAACATTCCCCAAGCGCGTATTGTATACGTGAATATAAAAATAATCGTCCTCATTAACGAGAAAATCGGTCTAAACAGTTAGTTGTCGTTTGTTTACTCCATAGATAATGGCTTCCTCAAGGGTTTGCCGAACGTCAAAGTCAGTTTCTCAATACTAGATCTAAAAGAAGTATAATTAAAAAAAAAAAACAAACGATTTCAATCAGAAAATTAAAGACTTGGTAATACTATTCTAATTCTATTTTTTCTTTTCTCTTTTTTTAAAACATTGCCCTAACTTGAAGATAACATTGTCCTGTGTCGTACGGAGGTTTTGCAAACACAAATTTCACGCGGACAAACATCCAGATGCGAAACAACTATCCGTGGGTCACACAAATGGTTGTCCCGCGTGGGAATCGAACTCACGATCCCGGACGCCAAAGCCAATACCTCGGCAACTGCGCCACGGAGTCATCAGATTTACAATTACGAATCGCTACATTCCGATATTACAGGCCACGTGAGCGTTGGCGTGGGTTCGATTCCTAGAGGAAAATAACTTTTTTGACGTACTGAAATTTGTTTTGGAATTGGGTGATAGACCCAGAACAAATTGTGCATGTAAAAAGTCTCACATTATAATACTAATTGTTGGGTTGCGACTATCTAATAGCAACCCAATAATTATACATTACTTATAAACTTTCCAAGTTATAATGAGCTGATGATTCTGAAATAATTTGGAATGTTTTTTACATAATTTAGGATCGACTTCATATTGTAATACTAGTGACAATCGATCACAATAAACTTCAAGTTTTTAACTATAAGCGCTGACTTATCACGTGCTCCGCGGTGAAACGCATCATCGCGAGGACCCTGCATATTTTCGAAATAATAATGACTTGGAATAATAATAATCTTTGGGACCAATTAAAAGTTCTAGTCAAGGCAAGACTATACTTACGCAACCAGCAACTGTTAATTGAAAAGGTGAGAACAATCTAAGAAGACTCCAAGTATCTTTATAAAAGAGGAGGACTTACCCTTTATTATTCACAATAAAAGTAAACAATAAGTTATGTAAAGTTTAACTTATTACTAAAAACATTTTCATTTTACAGATATTCTAAATTGCATTTAATAATAATTTAAATAATAATTTTGTAACCTTAAATGATCGTGATATATATCCTAAAATTAAATCTTGATTAGTTTAAACAATGGGCCATCAAGAGGATGTAAGTAATAAGTTTATATATAATATCATATCATATATATAAATTTCAGCCAGATACGTAAAATACAGCCATAAAATTAATTATAAGAATATATAATAATATTCTCCTACAAACGACATTCCTTATTGCCTTGCTCAGCGTTACTTTTTTTAGTTCTTAGTTATTTTTAAACTAGCTGCTGCCCGCGACTACGTTTGCGTAGAATAGGCTGAAGGCGTAACATTCAGACAGAAAGACACATATACATAAAATATGGATATAAATTATAACCTATGTCTTATTCTGATGTATAAGATATATTATTGTAAAGTTTCATTTAAATCCTTTCAGTAGTCTTTGAGTGAAAGAGTAACAAACATCCACAAAAACAAACTTTCGCGTTTATAATATTAGTAAGGAAGTTATGTTAGTGATTAGTAAGTATAATAAACGAAGTTGAATATCTACTTCAAAAGTTAGCTCTAAGTACTTAACATGTAACTGATGATATACATACCTAAGTAGTAATTGGCACGGATTTCTATAATGGTAAATGCGCCAAATATGAACAAAAACACCCAAAAATTCAAATTCCAGTGGCACTTGATAGAAACACGTTTTCTATCGAAATCTAGAAATGCCAAATAAAGCATCCTCTAAACCTACTCGAACGTTCTGTATTTAAAACCGGTTCTTTTGAGGTAGAATGAATCGGGACTTGTAGAAAGTATTAGTCTTTAAAGCAGCGCGAGAATTTGTACGGTGGATGGATGGTTCCGGGTTTGAATCTCGGGAAATGTAGTAAAATACTACATAGATGACTACCTAATACCCTCTTTACACAGGAGGCGTTTGCCCAGCAGTGGGTCATATATAGGCTGCTACTTTTCTTTACTTATAGATTCTCAATTCGGGCTAAGTAACGAACATTATATGTACTTCTATGTGTGTACCTACACGCAAATTTGTGTACCACTAACTCGCGTGTCTGTCGGGTGCACCTAACATTACCAATGCCGTCTGAGACCATATCGGGGCACTATGGCACACTTTGGAGTCCAGATGGAAATTGAATGAGAAAAACATTTTTCTGCTATTATCTTATGTTTTTTTATTTATTCCATAATTTTCTATCGGAATATATCTACGAAAAGGTGAGAAAAATTTCTATAGTTTAAGCGAACGCACGACATGCGAGGCCCCCGTGACGACAGGGACCCAGGGCACGGGCCCCATGTGCCCTTATGGTAAAGAAGGCACTGAACATTACCGACTAAAAACATTACTTTACCTAACATAAACATACTTATAACATTTTTATATCAAGAACATTTTGTGGAATCAATAACCAAATAAACTATTTTAATATCACCTAAACTTTATAATTAACCTTACCGCAATTGTACTACCGCCACATGCTCCATTATAAAACTTTTAGTAATAGTTACATGTAAAACTGATACCGGCGGTAGTACAGAAGCACTAATTGGTTTAACCTGTTGCATTACAGACTGACTAATAAGTGCTGGAGCCTTCATAACTACAGGCTAGCTCGCTTCGGCACAAGCCCCACAAAGAAAAAGGATGAAAAACAAGCAATAACCTAACATCTTTTACAGATATCATGAATACTCAAAATTTATGTAAAATAGAAATAACTCATGGATATATTGCATTCGTTGAAATACAATCAATCGTTATTTAAATCATTGAATCAATATCTAGGTGATTCACTGCGACATCCAAAACTACTTTGACCTCTAAAAACAACAACAATCCAAATAGAATAGACATGGATTGAATTATTCACAAGATACTAACCTTATATTCGTTCCTTATATATCCAAAAAAAAATTTTTTTTTTAAAATACATTAATTTAAATTTTGTAAATTAATAACAATAAAACGCTTAAAACGCATACTTACTGTACCTTGGGCGCGCAAAAGTTAAATCGTGTATTGACGAAAAAAGTAGGGTTAGTGAAAACTAATAAATCAGCGAACAAACAAGGCTCACTTAGCGACAATGGTCAACATAACTTGATCTTGACTTGATGAGTAAGTTGGACACAAAACTAAAATTATTCCAAAAACTAAATTTTACCATATTCTTGATGTAATTAAAAATGAAATAATTTTAATGTAATAGATTTTTTTTTATTTTTATAGTAAATGGATAATTTACATTTTTATGTTTCGCTTGCAACACAATGTTTTCAGAATGTATATTATGCATTACTTTCTTAATGTATATTACTTTTACAATAGAAATCATTTTCAATAGCATCGGCTTTAATGTGAAATTATCCGTCTTTATTAAATAAAAATTAAATAAGTGCATACCCAAAACCGGGGCTTTTTTTATCATATTATTACCGTATTTGGAACCACAGGATACCAAAGCCATTAACAAGCCAAAAACATGTACCCAATTTATATGATGCGCTTATGACCTCTCGCCTCTTTATAAAATCAGCAGAGAAAAACAAACACTTGAGCTTGGGTGAAACATCTCATAAATAAAAAAGACACAAAATTCGAGCATTAATAAAGCCAATGCACGTTGCAGATGTTCCGATGACTTCAACACATGCAAATACCTATTATGTTTACATACAAATAAATTATTTGAGGTCAGTACACGCCCATAATTTAGACCGTGGAACGTTTATGCACTTGCAAGCTTCAATTTGCAGCCGGGAATGTATAGCTATCTATTATTACCACGTCATAAGGTTGAATATTCGATGCGAGGTCGCCAATTAGCGGCAGGATTAGCCGTTCAGGCTGTCGTGCTCTCGATTCGCGAAGGGAAACGCAACGGTAAATTCGTAACGGTTTGAAAATAATCAGTTCCGATTTTAAATATAGAATTGTGTTATGTTTTTCTTTTTTATTCGCACGTCCTAAACGAAACGCAGATGCATTTTCATACAAATTCGAAATTTAAATGTACAAATACAATAACGAATTAAGAATAAATACTATGATACCTTTTGTTCCACGGTTGAAAACAATAGACGAGCGATACTGTTTTCGAGGTATCGTTTCGCCGAATTCGAATCGATGTTCGCCCCAATCGGCGAAACTAGAACCGGTACGCCCGTGCTGTTTGGTACACCGAAACGCACCGGAATTCGGCCGACTGCGCGTACCAAAGCGCACATGCGATTGCGCTGACCCACCCGACACTAATGCTATGAACACAATAGAATCGTCCAGGAAAACCTCAGGTGAATCAATCCCAAGGGCCCGAAGCGCATTATGGCGAACGTTTGCGATGTCGCATGCTCAGCACGTACCTATTTCAACGCGGTACAAAAATCGAGGAACTTGCCCACGGAAAACGAATAAAAGGCTGAATATTAACTAAATTGTTCACGGTCTCAGTACGATTTTAATCCATTTGCTATCCGGTAAATTTCAAGATGTCTACAGTTTTTATCTTTGTGAAATTATTGTTTTTACCGATTAACTTATCTTTTGGTTTCGCGCACCGATAACTATAAATATCAAATGTGACGGATGTTATTTAAAGGCTAAGTAATATGTGAAATGTACTTTACTTCTTGTATCTTGTATTGACTGTGTTTTTGCTTTCAGTCCCGAGACTATTAAAGCTTCATCTGACGCAGAACCGGTGGGCTAGCCAGAACCCACGAGTTTTGGCCCTCCTCTGTGGGTAGGGCCGCGCATGTGCTCGTGCGTGCGCATGCATTAACTATGGTGTGTCATCTAAGGATGTACTTTACTTAATATTCATTCCTAAAACTTTACAATTTAAAAAAAACCCAAAAAAACTTCTATGACCGGTTCCACTTAGACCAGTATAGATAAGAGATCGGTAAAACTGTTATTTTGAATCATAACTGTGTGACTTTTTCGTTTAAGAATTCATTTTCGTTTTTCCTAATAACTTACTCGGACGCAAGATCAGTTTAAAGGAATTGTGCAAACAGCTGTTTAATTGTAGCAAATATATGAATGAAAGAAAAGATAGAAGAAGAAAAATGGCAAGGATGGAAACACAAACACGTGTCGACGCACAGGTGAAACAAATTTAATGTCTGTTTGAAGAATCTGATTATTTGAAGAAACATTTCCACCACTTAAACAGATAGATATATCTGAACCAGTAGAATTTACGTCATCTTTCTGCTGCCCTTATCTCACCTAGATGGAATCACCACTTGTTTTGTATCATCCTGTTAATGGTATCGGCTGGATTTTTCCTGATTTTTGCGTCAACTGGACCAATAATCAGCCCCGGAACAATTATTTACAAGTCTTACAAATACTTATTTCTTCAATCTATCAAACCAACGACCTGCGGCAGAGGATCCAATAGAACAAGTACAAGTAAAACATATTTAGTTACAGCAAGCAAAACCGACTTTTAAATAAATGAAAAATTGATTTATTTCTATAATCTGTGATTATAATTTGCCAATTTTACCCACTAAGATGCCATTTAATGGGAATAACCTGCTACTTCCCTTATAGATAACTAGGACTGTAGATTAACCCAAATACTACCTAAAGAATAAATTAAACTTTAAATATTCTTGTTCGACCCGCTCACTATTATTTTTCTATTTCATTTTAAGGATATCCCTGATATATATCGGAAGCTAGTTAGTTCGTCACGAGTTAGCGGAAGAGTTAGTTCGTCCCGAGTATTCAAAGCGGTGCCCGACATTTTAATTCTATTCTGTTCCATTATATTTTAAGAGTGTTTTTAATAAGTAATATATGTTTTGTGAGCTAAACGTTAAAACCTAAAATCTGAAAGCCGTATGACAGCACGATATGCGCTTCGTTAGATCCCACGATTCGCGTGCCTTGCAGCAGCGAGCAGGTGCGCCCGCAAGGGTCTTTGTCCGGCTTCGAATTCGAGGCACGCCCGCCGGCCAGCGGCCATTGGCGACGACGCGGAACACGTCGCCATGGTTCCGCACAATCGGCGGGACAAAGGACGAATCGTCTCGCGGAAGTAAACCGCCCGGGAAGCGATTAGCGTCTAATGTGGAACAGAGTAAGAAAGGATTTTGCTGATTAGATGAAGAGGAACCATCACAATTGCTGGCCCTAGCTGATACAAATAAACCTAGAAACATTTGTTTCCATTATTTCTTTTAACATAACCATTTTTTTACTAACGAAGAAAAAATCCGACTTCTTAATAATCTGTATTCATTTTATAAATGATTTTCAGTAGTTCCCTAAGTATCTCCGGAGTCTAAGATCCAATACCAATGATATTAATATAGGAACCACATGGGAAGGACCAGCTTTTGAATAAAAAAAGAATCATCAAAATCGGTCACTCAGTCAAAAGTTCTGAAGTAACAAACATAAAAAAATACAGTCGAATGGAAAACCTCCTCCTTTTGAAGTCGATTAAAAATATAACACTAACCCTCCTACTATATTATGACATAAAATCGTAAAACTTGTACGGTGGCCAAAATTATGTGTTGAGTTTTTTGGGAGACTCTTGATTGAGACAGACATCCACACCCACAAAAGACATTTGGCGCTGTAGTCAAATAACAATCATTTCATAGTCCCGTGAAATCTTGTTAATAAATCTTGAACACTGTGCTTCATAAGACAATGAATGTAATATGATAATCGATTTTAGATTACCAATGGTTCCACATTAGCACAGAAAGAACAATATTGCTATTCCAATTTTGTTCGTCTGGGGGTGACTGACATACTATAATGCAATCTGACCAACAAACATGCGGAACATCTATCTATACCTTTCTTTACATATAGATTCCGGATAACCGACCATATCTGTGAATGTGCGTAGTGTTATTTTAGCAGATAGGTACTCAGATCCCATTGCAATGCATTCATAGTTTATATGGTTATTAAATTAAATAGCACATCACTTATTCAGGAAGGCAGCATCACGTATGGCGACACAGACTCCATACTCACTCGATCGTTTTGCGCGTGTCCATTGTATGTCTTTAATTACTGTGAACGTCTTTCTTCCTCTGGGACGTTACTTTTATATTTTACTGTTTACTAGTTGCTAAAATGTAAAACTAGAACCGAATAAATTTACATTGACTGATATAAAAGTTTTTTATTTATTTAAAATCAAAGAGGCGGCAAAAATAACTTTTTTGTGACAAGGTGTCAAATGCACTTACATCCTATGGATACCTGTGAGGCTACCGAACCAACCTTTTAAAAACATTCGCCATCCATGAGGTCCCGTTTACCTCACTCACTCACGAATCGCAGAAGTATTATAATTCCAGCTACTTTCAGTAACTTTTTTTAAAGTTTTTAAAACACATCAAATCTTTTAAAAAGTTTATGTTCTAGGCTTAACGCCGCGGCTGGTGACAAGAGAGCTGGTTCTTTTCTCGCTCAAAGGTTTAAACATAACTATTCAATGAGTTAAAATCAAAATCATATTTATAAGAAATCAGATATAAGAAACTTACAAAAAAATAAGACTATCGATAGATGAAATATCTATCGATAGTCTTATTTTTTTAATTCTACCACGGTTTCGTAATGAGGTTCCTCTAGCGGAGAAGAAACAGACGAAAGAAACTCCTTAGGTATCCTTTTTTTTGTAATTCATTTTTTTTTATTAAAAAATAGTTTACAACTGATTTATTTTTCCTTTAAGAAATAGCTTGGGAGCGATCAACTCATTCCCTTGGGTTATTGTGATAAATGTATTCATTTGTATTATAATAACCCTTTTTATAAAGTTTTTCCTTAATAAATTTCTTAAACCTGTCAATAGTAAATGCAGTTAGCTTTCTTGGCACCATGCCGCGTGGATGAGGTTTAATAGATAATATGTAATTTTAGATAGATTTAATCTTGTAAATATTAGGTAGATTTAAATTTGTAGAAAAAGTATGAAAAGGTTGTCGCCGCTGTGGGAATCGAACCCACGTCTTCGGCATTCGCGGCCTGACGCTCTAGCCATTAATCTAAATGGCTGATTGCCACACCGACGAAAATCTTAACGCCTTTTAACTACGTTGTGATTTAGCATCTATTGTTATATCCTTTCCAGCATACAAACAATTTCGAATATCGTTTTACAACGATAATTCAAACGAGAGATGTCGCCATTGCTTCTTAGAAATTTAATTTTTTTTATAGTGCTAATCTCTGCACTTAAGATTGAACATTAAATTTGTAGAAAAAGTACGAAAAGATTGTCGCCGCTGTGGGATTGTCGGTGTGGCAATCGACCGTTTAGCTTAGTGGCTAGAGCGTCAGGCAGCGAATACTTTCGTACTTTTTCTACAAATTTAATGTTTAATCTTAAGTGCAGAGATTAGCACTATAAAAAATTTAAATTTTTATTAGGTAGATTGTCAAATTACATCATTCCAGTCTACGCCGATCCCTGCGAGTTCCTTGTATGTACTTTCCCGGACAAGTGACAGTTCCCTGTTGCGTGTTTCTACAATAGTTAGTGTGCATTATAATCATCGTTTCCCATCATTACAAAAAATAATTTATGCACGAAAAGACATCCACTTATTGGCCTTTTTTTCCGTGGGAAAAATCCCTGCCACTGGATCGGGGGAGTGGCAGGGGTATGTGGGAGTTCCGGTGAGATACGTGTACCCACTAAAAACCCACGTTGCGCCCGTCTCTGTCGCATCGCACGGGAACACGTGGACGCAATCTTCCACGACCCCGGCGCAACTATGACCTTTTTTAGGCCTTCTCTACTTTATGGTGCTGTGCCGGTGACCCATTTATTGGCCTGCATGATGCTAAATTTGTATATATTCTTTTACCTTATTGCATTGGTTAAAATGGAAAAAATACAAAATTCTTACCGCAGTGTATATAAAGTTGTATTGTCTAAATTTTGTAAGAAATTTATCATGTATTTTAATTGAAAAAATAAATTCTTCTTGCATGAAACCAAAACAATTTTTCGTGTTTTATGTAACTGTTTATTTATCATTTATTCATTATATTAATTCGGTATTGGCATTAAAAGATTTCACGGTTTGGCTAGCACTGTGTTAAAGCGACTGGTTTCGCCGCGGAGCCGTGGTTTCCCACAATGTTTATTTTATATTTTAACACATAATTAATTAAACCGCCACATGTGTCTATAAATTTTTTTCACGCATCATTCACAAAGAAGATAAAAAGTAAAGAAACATTAATAAACACAAAGCGCGTGTAGTACTTTCAATTACAAACATGTTCTAAAACTAACTTAATTTCCTTAATACTTTATGAATTCCATGAACCACATCCTACAGGATGGATACAACAAACATTTTCCTCGGTTTTAATAACTTATGTATGAATAATCCTCTTACCGCTCTCGGCATAGATGGAGGAGAAAATCACCTAATTAAAAGATTTAAAACTCATCTTCCGGCTGTTTAAAAATATATCATTTTCATTTCGATATAAAAGATAGATTACTTGTAAATTTTTTTTTATGTGAGAAGCGAGCTGGCGGTTCACCTGAGGTTAAGTGATAATCGTCGCCCATGGATATTTGAAACACCTGTAGAGTTGCCACCTTTTAGTAAAGTGCGCCTCGGATACTTCACTCACCCAACGAAACCGTAGAAGTGTACACTTCACGCCGGTCTCCTCTGAGGTCGTGGTACTTTCCGGGTAGAGCTGCCCATTCGTGCAACAATCAAGACTATTGCGTCGAATTAATTTATGTATAATTTATACACTAAACTCGGATTCAAACCTTAGACGAAAGGCAAAGGCTAAAATGTACACTAACTACTGCTTAGATACTAGCCATCATTAGATAGGTCAGGATAGGATATGCGGATAAATAAGCATGTACGACTCGGTAAGTAGTATCATATAACAATATTAATATCGAGGATAAATAATTTTAAAACTAATAAACTTTTATTTTTACTATATCCTCACGAGAGCATATCTATGCTAAAAATACAATTGAAAAATCACAAATCGTACATCTTTGGAAACGCGTTATAAAATGCTAAACAGTTAACAATACATCGGGAGTATCTACGTGTTTACACGTACACATTATTAGATTACGATGCGTACAAACAGAATAAATAACATAAAATTATAAACAATTTAAATAATACCTATACCTTATTTATGTTATTTGTCTTTCTTTTACGCAGTAACGGAGGAAGGAACCATAATAATTACTGTAAAGTCGAGGCGATTGATAACTTTGAATACATTAATTTCTTTCCATAGATCTGGTGTCTCCTTAATGTAAGTGCCTTTATTTTTAATTCGCAATATATTGTCTAGGTTTAGTACATTGTTGTACTACATTGTTGTCTAGTTAAGTTACATTGATCGTTTCCTGAATCACTTCGGTATAGCATCTTGTTAGAAGGGTTTCTGACTTTTAATATAATTATCCAACGCTTCGGCTGTATAAGCTCTGCCGACATACCATTGATTATTACAGGCACTGAATTACTTGAAGAAATGTTTAAAATTTCGATAACATCTGTGACGCCATGAAACCTATATTAATTCAGTGACATCTTCTTCGTAGCACAGAAAAACAGCCCGGTACATTTCGCAGCATGGTTGGAGCCTTATCGTGAAAGAATTGAAATCTAAAGCAATTTAGATTTCATGACAATTTGGGTAGGACAGTGTTTCGATCAGGTTTCGTTAGGGTAAAAACTATAAATTTAAATTTTCAGAGTTACAAATTTTATTTGATTCTTATTCATAAAAGTTGGCATTTTAGTGATAGTACATTAGGTAGATATTTTTGGTCGTTAAGTATCATCATCATCATCATCATTTCAGCCTGTTTGAGTCCACTGCTGAACATAGGCCTCCCCCATAGACTGCCACGAAGTACGATCCTGGAGCCACCTGCATCCATCGACTTCCCGCACATTTGCACAGGTCGTCACTCCATCTAGTGGGGGGTCGTCCCACACTGCGATGGCC